ACAGACAAAAAGGTCTATTTTAGGAAATATCTAGCAAATATATTAAAATCTGTCAATGACTATTATAATTTAATTACAGATCAGTAGCGTTACAGAAAGGTACCGAAAACGTGCCTGAACAAAACACAGCCATGAAATTAATGAATAAATTAATTTGAATCGACCACAAAGTGATTACTAGTTTAGAATTATTTCACTAATACTATAGCAATGTTGCGGTGCAGCTTGACAATGGATCAGTGCGGATTGCGATCGAGGATTCCAGTTTGTCAGTTATACGGATTATGAGAGAGCCGCAACTGTCATGTCCGTGCTTGTCGTGACGTCACAATGAGGTCACTGCATAAATGTTGCCATGCATTATTGTTGAGATAATTTACTTTGTTGGTTGTAAGTATAGTAAACGAGGTAGAACTAAGGTGTTGAAATTACATGTTCGGTGTCAGTAGGAACGGGGTGGTATTTAGTCAAGTCGGTATAAGTATTTAGTAACGGTCTGAGACTCACTCGTGACTCACCTGAAGCGGGGAAAAAGTGTCCTAACAAGTAGGCCTATATTAAATTTCTAATAAATCTAATAAAGATTAAAGTTGTATATTCCATATTCTTTTCTTCTCTCACGGCCGTACGTGACATATAACCTCATGTAGAGGAGGCCTAAAATTCTGCAATGAATTGCCCCAGGTTTTGATGTTAATATTATTGATGAGAAAGATATATGTGTATTCTAGGATATATGGAAACCACATATTATATCTAAAGGCCGAGACGAGAGATTGAGCTTATGTGAATGGAAGGTATTCAATTGGACGTATGTGAGAGCCATTCGGCATGAATGGGCCGAGTCGACCGGAGTGATACCATGGTGTCACAGAAAACCGACGTGAAACAACGCTTGCATCCTGTTTCGTCGTGTGAGTTCTGCAATCCCTGAATCCTAACAATCCAAAAAAGGTCAGTAACGCACTTGTAACGCTTCTGGTGTTCCGGGTGTCCATGGGCGACGCCGATTGCTTACCATTAGGTGATCCATTGGCTCGTTTACCGGCTTATCCCAAAAAAAAAACAGTCGTATTTATAAACAACTAAAAACTATTCTTACTTGTAAAAAGTACAACAGAAAAATCCCTAGAGATTAAAATGAGGGCAGACATTCTTTACCAAATGATTTATGCTTATTAAAATGTGAAATACATTAAATTTCTTTTAGATGAATTAGCTTTTGCCGTTGTAATAATGTAAAGTTTTCGTTTCAGCCTACAGCCTACAGAATAAGTGAAGGTCAGAGGTTAAGTAATTATCATAAAAGGGAATGTTTCCTCAAGAAAATGTATGGACTTATTCATTGAAAAACATTATAAAGCTTCTGACACTTTCATTCAGCTTACTGATGATATATTTTGTTTTGCTAGAATTAATTTTGGTACCTTTTTGATTTAAGGATTTAATAAATTGTACTTAAGTTGTCACTTGTAATTTGTTTAGACATAGAGATGGCATTTTTGTATCTTTAACAATTTAGTGTGTGACCAACAATGTTGGTTTCAATCGTATTCATAAGTTAAGTAATTACAAGCGATGTGGTATTATAGCTTTAAAGATCATCATACCATCACATCACGCCTTTTATTTCCGAAGGGTAGGCAGAGGTGTACATTAAGCCACTGTACAATGTAACACCCACTTTTCACTATTTATGTTTATGCCATATACCGGGCACAATTCCAGACTCTGTGCTAGAGAATTTTTAAGAAACCCAGTAATACTTTGCCCGACCCGGGTATCGAATCCGAAACCCCTTGCCCGGCAGTCGCACTTGCCACCAATGAGACATTAAAGATTATCCGGAGTAATAATAAAAGTTAAAACATTGAACGCCATGGGGGTCACTGGTGACCGACGTTAGCTCTGAAGATTTGCCTTCGACAGATTTTTATTGCCAGTCAAGCCTTAAGAAACAAAAATACACAACAATATTCGATAGCAACTCCAATTGACACGTTCCAATAACAAAACAACTTGCAAACGACACCAACAAAGAATTTAATAAAGTGACATCTGGAATGCGCTCAAAGCACTATAAGTCGCAATTGATTCGCCAAATGGCGTCCTGAGCTTAGTCTGGGAAGGCCGGAGTGACTTAGGCACAAAGAAAGCGGATTATGGCGTAATCTCAACGGCCGATGCTGGGACACGCGTCCCCAGTCCCGGCCACATTAAACCCACATTAGGTCTCCATCGATTACGACTTGACATTTTGTTGCGCGCAGGTTATTTTACATTACGTGATGTCGCGAAATATCTTTTCCGTGTACCGCAGCGGTTTATTTCGTTTATTTATCTTTGCTACGTCGCTTGTTTTAAGTAGGTTGTACTTTGCAGTCTCTTTAGGCCTGAATTACAAAGTTTCCGAGTCAGTTAAATCTGGCTAAAATAGGTATGTACTGTTTGTAATTTGAGAATTTTAACAAATCTTTGTGACTTACGTAGTTTTAAATAGTATTTTAATGTCCCGTATAGAGATAATAAACGCAAAACGAGTTCTAGATATATGTACTAGTAGAACTAACTCTCTGTCCCTTCGAAGTAAAATGGTCGTACAATATTGTATTACTTGGACTGGGTATGAACAATCGACTTAATTTATTTAACCAATCAAATCATTGTAAACCACAGAGATAGTTGGTAATACCAAGTCTTCGTCTTTGTTGAAACCACTAAAATAATCATTGAATTGAAACAATAACAGATCGAACATCGTATTCAAACCCGCGCAGTAACTAGGAAAACAATCCCAAGTTCCATGGTCGACAGAACTCTGGCAAAATACTCAGTTTGAGTTCCAAGTAGAAGTAATTCAATTCGACTGGTTACTTGTTATTCTAAAGTCAAATACTGAAACTGTAGCTCCAATAATAGACCCTCTTTATCGGCTATCTTAAGAATCTTTATTGATAAAGAGGTATCGAAAGAACGATCAAGGAATTTCTACAGAATTTTCTACGAAAGAAAATGTAGTTACAAGGGAATTTGTTATAACAGTTTTTGTTTCATGCTTCACTTAAGCACGTCAATTTTATTCAAAAGATAATCATTTACAAGACTCGGCTCGTAAGAAAGTACAAATAACCTATTAATTATTAATCCACTTACAATAATACAACGGCGTGCTTATCCGTCTACAATATCAATATACGGCCATTGAATCAATTAACGGGACTTGCCACTTGTAGATATATTATTATCTTCTGCCCCAGTAATGGAATATAATATTTTATCCTGTCCATAAATTACCTACTGAACAATAAATAAACTGGAAAATGGAATGCCTAAGGGTAAAGGCACTAAAAGCTGAGATGATAATAATTTAGCGAAGCGTATAACTATCAGTCAATAAAGCTGTGAACTGGCGCGTACAATATACATCACAGGGTCTAAACAGATTCGGGCCACTTGACGGGCTTCGGCAACATTCTCAGTACAAAGCAATGAAAGCGGCTTAGTTGAGAGAAAGGGGATTAGAGCATAATCTGCAGTGGAGCGGTTGACATACGGCCGGGCGCCGGGCGCCGCGCCGGGGGCGAGCCGGCCGTGCTCCGTCCACGGTAAATACGCCGGCCGGCCACCGCACAATAACTGTTATTGAAGCACATAGATGCGACAATTGACTCCATGGACCTTTGTCTGGTTTAAACGAGTATCTCTACTTCGTAGTGAAAAATTAAACACTTCTCGTTTTAATGTCGGTTGTAGTACAGTGGTTGTTCTTTCAATTTATCTAAAATACACTCAATATCCTTAATGTAGGTACATACGTTACTAACTATCTACTTACATGTCTTTAGAAGCAAATGTAATAACCATAAAACATTATTTTGAATACAAAGTAAATTGAAAATTTTAATTCACATGAAAAATTGTTCCATAATTTTCATTAGTTCTTCATACTACTGTTTCAATATAATCATTCATTTCATAGGCATGTAGTAGATAATCACCTATAATTTTAATTGACTATTTTGTGGTTGATGTGGTCTCCACTATATTATAATAGGCAATAACAGTTTGATAGGCAATTTCATAAGTGTCTATAAACAAAAACAATAATGTATTTTATTTTAATGTTTTGTGGTTTTCCATTGTACTAGTTACACCTAATTGTAATTTATAAACGTGTTACATTTAACTTTGGACTCATTTTGTACCGTTTAAAATACATAAAGTTCTTTTTCAATTTCTAAATTGTTGATCATTGTTCTATCGACGGTATACGCTCTGTAGAGGAATGTTTCGGCTAAGTAAACGTTGTGTGTTTATTGAATAAAATATAAGTTCATACATAGAACATTTGAATCTATCATGAAATTGTGGGAGTATCTCTATTGGATTGCGGGAAGCTCATAAATTCCTTGAATCGGCGGCAGTATTCTACAATGAAGTGATTTAATAAGGACAAGAGTAACATAATTCAGAGAGTTTGCGAATAAATCAAAGTTCAACACTAACTTCGCATCAATATCAAGTGGCGGTCCTCAACTTATTTTTATGGTCTCCATTATGTTTGACTTCCACGTAATAATATTTATGAAGTTGAAAGTTTTATGTTTTCCAAAATCCTCTTCGTTCATCGTTCAGTTTTTAATAAAATACCTGGACAACTTTGTCACGAATTACCCGTAAGGACCATTATAACTTTTATGGATTTTTGTCAAGTTTAGTTCACCGACGGCGACGCTTTCGCGACATACCAGTGCCGGGCCTGCTGAAATTTACAAACTTTTAATTTCGTAAACAGGATGATATTCAACCGTGAGTTTATGTGAACTGCGCCGCTTTCATTCCAGTGTTTTGAAAGGGATTCGCCTTTTAGAGAAAATTTGCCTTTTCATCATAATGTTCCGCCAATGAAAGCAAATGTTTACTGTGAGTAAATCTTTGACGTAATATTACAAGTCATTACGAATCTCTTAAGTAAATATAAAGTCACTTACAATACACACCTTATGACATGGTTAAGCAGCACTTTGTGAGTCCGATTCTGGAAAAGAAAAAAGAAACAACGTCAGCCACAATGAACGCAAAGACCAACAATAAAAGTGATATAAAAATGTCGTAATGTCAATATGACGAGGAAGGCATATGTCAACTGATTAGTGAGTCCGTGAGAGCTTGACCGTCACGAGGTCCGCCTGGTCAATTGCCCGATAATAGCCCACACCCACATGATGCGGGATTATTGACATACAATAAACGTCACATTTTTCTTAATAAACAAACAGATATGTCACTTTGATATTGTTGACATAATCTTTTGTCTATACATATTACGTAAGTACATAATTATATCTACATATAGGTATTTATATTTTAATTTTGCCTGGGTGTCGATATTTGACACTGATTGCTGGTTATTTTACAAATCTTCAATCAAAACGTTGGTTAATACGAAAGTCATTGGGATTTCTAGATTCTATTTTTAAATAATACTTTTCGATTCTTTTATTGCCACTAAACCATCATGGCGTCTCATAACTGTCATCGCTAACAAACCACCTTATTAATCAGTACATCATTATAACGCTTTATAGAGGTAGAATGTCCCCCGCATACAATTATACGTACGTGGGGCGCAAATAAATCATTGTTTTCGTACCTATTTACCGTTTATTTATGTTCTGTGTTTGATAACCCACTGTCACATCGGCGTATAATTACGTCTACGTGTTGTGGCATAAATAATACAAAACCGCTTATAATTTATTGAATGTACAATTAATTACAAAGTAAATGTTTGTTTTCCACATATTAAACTAGACGTATTTTTATTTCAAACTCGTTAACGATCGATGTGACTGGCTGTCGAGAATATTAAGCTTTAAATATGGAATTCTTAAACGATTCGAAAAAAGATGATGGACGTTCGAATTTTAATTGCTCGGAAATTAAAGGCCTGAGAGAAATAATAATCATTATAAATATAGTTTTAATGTTATTCATTAGATATTATAATTAGGTATATGAACACGTTATTAAATTACTAAATTATTAATCGTGTATAAGTTTGGTGAGATAAAAGTAAACATTATCTCGGGTTTAATAGTACCTAATCGTATTTCGAGTGTCTGCGAAGTGCTTGAGCGCCAGAAATTCTGTGAAGTAACCTATTACGGATAAACGAAGCCTTTGTAGATAGAATACTTACTTATCCTTCAGCTTTTCTATGTAACTTTCTAGCATTTATATAGCTGTTTCGTCCTTCAAATGAATTGTAGTTGTTGGTCAGTACATTATTATATTCATCTCGTCAACTTTCATGGAATTAATAGTGGTAGGTAACCTTTATAAGTCTGTTGCCTAGGCAACAAAATCTGCGTAAAACAAGCAGTTCAGGTACGTATATATATATATAAAATATACATTCATAGTTTATAAATACGAGGACTTCAATCATAGTGGAATTCCAGATCGGAATCGGTTGTACCATTACATTATTCATCTGTTCGCCGTCCAGACGACAAGCCATTAGCATTTTAAATTAAGTAATGAATTTACTAGACGACCTGTGGAGGCGGCCTAAACTTAGACCGTCCGGGTGGAATTAAACAGTACAATGTATAAGCTATACATTGAGTTATGTAATTACTATTTTATTATGGTCACATTTTATCATATCATATCATGATCTTTTCACATAGTCGAGGATTAGTTTATACTGGCATTGCTTAGCTTGATGTGTCACGGGGTATTCATCTATATGCCTACATATACGTATAATAAAATCGTAGGAAAATGAAAACTGTACATTTTTTTAAAGAACGCTTGGTGCGTTATTAGCTGTCGATATCGAAGCCAAAAATACGGTTTATAGAATTTTTACTTTTTGTCTGTATGTATGTCCGGGCTAAACTCAAAAAGTACTGCATGAATTTAGTTCAAAATTTGCATGAATATTACTAACAAGTCGGGTCAACATATAGGCTACATATTATGACGCTATCACCTACGGGGGAGGAACTGTGTATCACGCGCGGTGTCAGTAGCGGGCACAGCTAGTATTATATAATACAGTTATTTTAGATATTACAATATATTATATTGTACCCGGGTAGCTCCATTGTAGAAAGTCGTGTTGTACAAGTTCCTAGTTTTCGGTCTACATAATTTATTTATTTCAGTTCGGCGGTTCTATAACTGTGGTAGTTTTGACAAATTTCTTGAGATTTCTCTTCTACAAGCAGGTAGGTTTTGATTATTTAACTCGTCGAGTACCGTCATTATAGACACAATTATAGAACAATAGGTTGCTGTCACCGGTGACCGCTTGGTGTTTGACAGTTTAAAATTATATTCTATTAGCTAATACCTGCAGTGTCACTCGCGCGGCTCTTCACCCTTATAACTATTTCAAGAATCATAACGGACAACGGAGCATCGCGACGTGAAAGAAAGACAAAGACTAGAAGAAGGATTGAAAATTTCTTAGGTACTTCATTTACAACTGATAAGGCCTTCAAACCTTCACGAAAAGAACGTATTTCTTTTTAGAAGGCCGGTAACGCACCTGTGCCTTCTCTGATGATGCGGGTGTCTTACCATCAGGTGACCTATCTGGTCGTTTGCATCTTATTTAATAAAAAAACAAATAATGATATACAATGTATATTTTTAATCCCTTTCATATTTTTATAACA